TCCTCGTGTAAGGAGTCTGAGACAGAGTAATCCTATTGCATGATGGGATAGCAATACATGAGCGAATGGTTAGTAAAGATGAAATGCTCGAACAAGTAAAATGAAATTTATTATGAGAAAATGTTTTAAGCAAGAATATCTAATGTTATTATTGCAAAGTCACAAAAAATTAGGTAATATATTCATATACACGATGGAACTGTTGTGTAGTTTTGTTTTCAAAAAGGAGGATAAAATAAAAATGTTGGTACTTCCAACAATATTGGTTTAATTACTCTAAAAAGCAAAATAAAAACAAGCCGATATTTTATTCAAAGTAGGTGGTAATGTTGAACGGCTACTGACTGCGTTGTATGTCTCAGTGAAATGAAAACTGGTAATAGACACCACAATGTTGAAGCACACAAATATTAAATGAGCAGGCTGGTAGTTTCAGACATAAACAGTCATCAATTGAATCAAGAAAACATGCAGTTCGTGAACCAGGGAAGCACAATATCAAGTACAGATTCAGAAGACATGCAAAACAGATGTATAGTTGAGTTGATGTGTTGGTAAATTCGCTTTCAAATCACTATGGGTCATTCAGGATTCTGTCACAAAGTGTATCAAGTTTCAGAAGAGGATGGCAGGAAGGGGGTGATTGGTGGTTGGTGACATCAGTTGATTTAAACTTACAGTAAATCTAGATGTATGCATGGTATCAATTCCAGATTCCTGGAAAATTTTCATGAATTAGACGAAGAAGAAAAAAACAGTGGATATTTATTAGTTAATTAAAAGTGAGAAAAAAATAGTTTTTGATCATGCATAATCAATAATGATGGGAAAAAAAACAGAAAAATTGTAATTGTTGAAATTCAGATGTGGTTGCAAGAAAGTGGGACACAACAAAAAATCTATATTGCATACCAGTTATCAAAGATAAATGAAATTTTCATTCTAAATTTGTTTAAAACTATTTAACAAAAAAGTAATTAGAAAGAAAAAGAAATTTTTGCAACAAAACAATTCACACGTAAATTCAGTTCAATCAATAAATGAATGACAATATCAGAACATGGTTCTCATGTAAATTTGCATATTATGTAAATACTATGCAAATGATGTGATACCTTGGTGTCGTCATACTCTGACTCAATGCATTCCTCAACAGGTGAGGGTTGCTATGGAAACAAGACATGAAATTAGAAAACAGATTATGCTTGAACACGAAACATGAATAAAAAGACTTGCAATGGAAAATGGTTGTCAAGACAACCGATTAATAACAGGAAGCGTCTTATAAAGGCTGTAACGATTACATAAATAATTTAAAATTCTTTAGGATTGTTTTCGTAAATGCCGTTCACTCATTGCAAAGACTGTTTAAATTATAATTGGTGTCGTTTGTGTGTAACGGCTGCCATTTAAGTATTGTATAAGAACATGTAAAAGACACCTGCTGCAAACGACAAAAAAAAGCCATTGCTTTAATTAAAAATAAGCACTGAAATAATATGGAAACTCAGCCTATCAGGAAATTTCAGTTTGTCAAATCTATATTGCTAGAAAATATCGTAAATTAACAACTGCATTTTGACATAGACCTATTTTCTAAGGTCTCTGATTTTGAATAGCATTTATTTTGTTATTATGTTTATGAGATTTCTCTAAAAACGGGACTGATGTACAAAGGCAGTACGGCCATTGCATAGATAATAGCCAGAAATAGCAATGAAAACCGCGTTGCACTGTGCTAATGCTTGGGTCCAGTGACAGGATTCTAGTTTCGTCATGCGCTATAATGTTTCTGTGTCCGATTAACAAAATTTAGTGTTTGAACGTGACGTAAAAGTGATGCATGTTCGTAATACGGATATTTTACTGATGGATGAAATTTATTATTTTTCGGTGTAGCTAACTATGAATTCTGAATTTCTGTACTTGAAAAATTAAACCATACACCTCGGAAAAACATTTTAGAATTATGAAAACGTCCACTGTACACATTAGCTTGTCTTAAATGATCATGTTTTGCATATTTTTGCGATGAAAAGTTTCTCAAAACCCAAGTTTTTGTGAGTTTTCGTGCTATTGTGTAATGACAGGAAGTTGTACGCATGGATTATAACTTTAATCCAATTCACTATAATTATAACATCAGAAAATAACACAGCTGCCTGTCTCTGTATTTCTAGTCTATGATTAAACAAAGTATAACACTGATGTTTTTACATAATATTTATCTTTAAAGCGGCTTAGATGATGCGCATATTTGTTCGTTGTGTCTTATAAAATACACTTGAACTATAACTTAAATATCGATGAATGTTGTGAATGTTTGACAATGGATTATCTCTTGGTATGTTAATAATAATAATAATGGACACTATTATATCACTGGCAACATACACAAGGCTTTTCACCAAATTTGCAATATTTCGTATAGAATTATTTTTTTAACAATATGATTATTATGTATTATTAAATACATCTGTCATTATAACGCCATAAGTTACAGCGTGCCGTAATTTTGCAGTATTTTAATCCTACCACATTAGGAAACACAAATTCCAAATGGAATGTTAACGTGAGTAATCAAAAACAAACATGGCTGCCCCAGGGTTTTACCAGACCCTACACAAAGAAGTTCTTAAATCTGTTATAAACATTTTAGATTTCGGCATTTCCATGATGTATTCCTGGAAGGAAAAAAATGTATAATAATACCTCCGCTGCACGTTGGTGGATACTCTGTACTGTCTCTGTGCAAACTTTGCAGTATCCTTGTAATAACCTCATAGTATCGATCACTGTCAACTGTTTTTATTTTGCAAAAAATAAATTTTCGCAAATTTCATGAGTCAGTATCATGTGTATTACAAATGCTGTCAAATTATAAAAATCACAACAAATCTTAGCAGCAAAAGTTAAGCAATGTACAGAGTTTAATAACCACTGTTTTTGCAACTTTGAATGAGGAAACTCAGGAAGCCTTGTTAAATCGATTACGATACAGTCACATGTTTTAAATATATAAGTCGATTTACAGAACAATGAAAGATATGAATGTGTTAATGAAATTTGAAATAAAATTTTGTGTCACAGAATAATAGCCCATCAAAATAAGTAATGAGAAAAAACAAACACTTCTCTATAAATGTTGTCTGAAAATAAACATTTACATGGACATAAGTGTATCCCGTCAATTTCAGCCAGAAATTAATAATACAGGCAAACATAGTTTTATTCAGTAAAGGTAAACTAATAATAATATTTTCGATGCGGTTCTTCTTTATCAAGACTTTCTAAAAAACATATGGTAGGTGAAAGGTATGGATGTGAACAGTATGCCACAAGAATTTATTGCATTTTGAAGACTGAATTTAAAGGTATTCGCAAGTATAAAAATTAATGAAAGTCCCCCTGTGTGACTCCTTGTCTTAAGAACCTCAGTGAATTGTCCACTGCTACAAAATTCGTTTATTTCTGGACTCTTTGAAATTACAGCAGCTAGTCAAATAATGACACATTACATGAAATGCACATACATCAATTTCAAATTTTATGAGTTATATTCTAGTGCAATTTTGTCAATTGATTAGTCTATACTATTATTGTGTTGAGTCAATATATTTATAAAGTAAGTAGGAGGCATCAAGATATTTTTATGCGTATATTCATGTCTATAGCTACACAACGTCAGCCACACATACATATATTGGTTTATGAGGTTTAATGTATTAATGCACACTGATTTCAATAACACAAGAGAATATGCTCATATATGTAACAATTAAGACAGTGGTGAAATCTACTAAGACAATGAATTTATATATACTTACATCAATGGCTTTCTCCATGTCAATTTCATTTATGCTAGGGACAGTGTCTTTATTGGATTTTGATTCCAGCTTGGACATGGACTCTTCTATCAACTGTTGTTGCTGGTGTAAAGCACTCTGCACCAGAAGCCTCTGTAGCACTTGCTGCTGTTGCTCTTTTTCGAGATCGGCGTACGTAACTGCACGGGCTTTATCATCTTCATCACGAGCAATAGCAGCAATAGAGCCATGCAGGGACACACGTGAGTCTCGGCCTTCCGAATGGAGATCTTCCGACGGACGCCCTGGAATAAGACGTAAAGCTCTAATAAGCATCCTACCGTAGTCACAGACTTTTTTCTCTAAGATAGTACATGTATTTAGAAGTATTCAAGTCAATGACGATATTTTTTTAAATGTCATCAACAAAGAATCTTTTTTCACTCGGTATAAAAGAAGGTTGCCATGGAAACAGACATCCTTTACAGTGAAGTAGTCTATGCACCCAATACATATAAGGTATTAACATTATACAGAATAGTCAACATGGCCAACAGAATTCAATCAACCATAAAAGCCTATTTAATGTATGAATGTATTAATTTTAACAATTATTTTTTCAATAATTCTATAAATATGAATATTTCCCACTGAAATTTGTGATATATATATTGTTTTTTTTTCTTCAAATTGTCATGTGTACAGCTGCATGACATTTATGAATTTGAAATATCAGGCAAAAAGATTTGAATGATGAAAAACAACTTGTATGATCACATATTTATTTATTTAGTTAACCATAATTTGCATATGGCTGACAGCTGCATAATCAAATCTGTTTTATGTTTCCTCATTCATAATCCAAATTCAGTAAACCAGAAAAGTTTTCATTTAATTTGGAAATGGCGTTACTGATGAAATTGACCCTGGGTTAGAACAAGTATAATATTATTCATCATTTTGATTGTTTTTACATTTTGCCTTAGATGTATTCTGTGAAGCGAATACATCACAGTCTCCCGTCCAATAAAAATAAATATAACACAATATATTTTTTTTTTATTTTCAACTTCCTCTCTATTGGTCTAGCCTTCTACTCTTGCTTGAAATGTCTATTAATGACATCCTGTTCCGGTACGTATTTGAGAGTGTCATCAGTTCATGTCATTCACCTCAAAACATAAATACAATGTGCCTTCTGTGAGCTACACTTGAAAATTTATAGGCTATATAATATAGCAAGACCTGTGTTAATTGAAAAACTGCCTAAATAAATTTGTATGTAAACCAGAAACTTTATCCTGTAAACTGGAAACCTGTCCTAATCAAACTTCCGTAAAAACAGAAAGTTGTCTAGGATCCCGCTAACCCTCCGCTAGTCGACAATGTTGATTTACATTTAGATTCGTATGTAGGTGTGCTACACATTACGTCAATTTCACCACCAGTGGGTAAAACTAATTACAAACCAAGCAAGGGTAAACTATGTACCAGTACAACAGTTTGTAAATTTACTCCTATCATTTTAAGTGATTTTAAAGTTGATTGGTTTTCTCAAAAACACTAGAGAAGAGGGACATGCAACTCAGCCTTTTCTTTGATTTAACATTTTATCGATCTTTAATCCAATTAGAGTGAATCGCGTCTTATCTCGGATTGTTTATTTGCATGTCAATGAAACCTCTCGATTTGCGTTAACGAGAGTAGATTTGAGAATAGTGTGTTTGGTTTTCTGCACCTTTTCATTTTATAACATGAGGGTACAAATTAAAACAAAATTAAAGGAAAAATACCTTCTGCCGAAGGTGAATAGGAACACAACAAACCATCAATTATTCAAAAGCATGTTATCACAGAAGCTAAATTAAATACCCCAAAAACAATTCATAGTTGAATCTGAAAAATGACATGATTCTTCATAATACCTCATTTCTTCTCTTTTTGAGAAATGAGTTAGTCATTTTTAAAGAAAATAATCTATTATATTTGTTCTATTAGTAGCGCATGCACTTATAAAAACTTGCGAAAACTTGTTTCTTGCAAAATTCTGCTTAATTCTACAAACACTTAAAAACAAATGACAAAAAGAAGAAAAAAAAAAAAACGTCTTACTAAAACTAAGAGCACAAATCATATTTCCTCCTTTGGCAATGTTACCGCCTAAATGCGGATAAAACAAAATCACCTATTACTTAAATGAGAAAACTTATTTTATATGCATATACGATTTAAAAACGCTACAGATGGGAGCTAAAAATAGATTTTATAGGGTGACTATTAATGTAGAATGCATTAGACGATGGTGTATATTGCATGTTATGTTGGCAATCGTGATAGAGAAATGAGGCATCCATTAGGTCTGGAACTTAAAAGTGTTATTATGTGGATGGGTTAATTTCACTGTGGGCATTCATTTATATGAGGTGACTTAACCCTTCAAGTATCGTAAATTTCCAAGGAATAATGTTTCTGCTTACTGCCTTCTTGTATATGTGGAGAGACTAGAGATGAACAGTTTGAAACCGTATATTGGACCTTTGAGTGCTAAAGCCACGTTTTGTCACTTTCAGAAAATATAAACCTATTAAATTTCTTCAAAAGGCGGTGATCGTATGTGCATGTGCAGCATTTGTGTTGATAAACATTGATTTTCCCACAATCCAATGCGCTCTGCTAATGGAAATCACAGGAATGAGGTTTGATCTGGGCGTTGCACTAATTACCGCCGATGACTCCTCTGATACCTTCCAATCACATAAAAAACCTAATTAAAGCTTGGTAATGTCTCAGTTTGTACTCATTGATCTGCACAACAGTCAAAGTCGCCATCTTTGTCTATATGAGACCCATATATCTCGCGCATGCGTGGCGTGGCGCGTCGCGACGCGACGCGACGACTACTGCCCTTTAAATTAGTTGCAAAATTGAGATCAAGATCTGCAGAAAAAGAAAAATTTTATCCATTTGGTTCCAAATAAGGATAGAAAATACATTCATAAAAATGTGAAAAATGTTGTGTGTACATTTTCTGTAACTAAATTTGAATTGTGCTTTGACTAGTATTTTTTGACATCTAGTTTAGATTTGGTGACATGATTCAGTCAAAAAAAAAAGAAATTTTTATAATTGATCCAGTTTAACTGTAAACAGTGACTTTCATGAATAGCTTTTGTCACAATTACGAGATCTTTCTAAAAAATAAAACTGACGTAATTATAGAACATTGTTCAGATAAAATGAACAGCATG